TGCCTTTAATTATGTTATATCCAAAACAGAGAAAGTGTTCATCGAAATGGGATAAAGAAGTCCTCACTTTTAAGAGGCAGGAATAACAAACAAATTTTTACCATTTGATTGTTATAAAAAAATTTCTACAAAAATACAATTAAAATTTAAAGGGAAAGCAGATGTCTACTTTAATTCGTTACATTCATTACAAGTGTGCTGCATTGATTTGAGGTGGAATCTAAGGACATCAAAACTGGGAAGCATGGTCAGGAATAGAATCAGAACTTTGAAGGATACTTCGATAATTCTCATCCACTCTTCAACTTCCACTGATTATACTTGTATGCAAATCTACCTGACTCAATGCCATTAATAATGCTTCTCAAGAGCTCACCACACCAATGACTGAGATTGCGTGTCCTCCAATTGTGTCATCAATTATTTTAGGGTGAAATTTACAACACTCCCCTATTCTATTTTGGCCTAATCCCATATGACTGTCCAGGGACGGAGCTACATAGAAACTAGGGGGGGCGGTGGCCCCCCTAGGATTTGAAAAAATATATATATATAATTTATAAATTATTATTAAAATTTTAAATATTGTACTTTTAATTGTTAAAATATATAAAATAAAAAAAATCCAATAATGATGACTGTTTTCAGAGTTCATATATAATCTATATAATTTATTATCTATTTTAACAATTTAACAATTTATTATTATTTAAAATCCACTTATCTCAAGGCCCACAATTAAATTATGTAGAAGATGAAGAAAAAAAAAAGAAGAAATATAGGTTCTCGTGTCTTCTACATCATTTCTCCAATATTTAACCCCACTGTTCTAGTGTGGTAGTGTCAATCTCCTTCAACCTCAATCCAACAACTTCAAAAATAGAAAAAAAGAGAAAAAAGAGACTTTGCTAACCGCTCAATGCAAGCAACTGCAACACTGCTCTCGTCATTGAAAGTTCGAAGATAAAATGACCACTAACTTTTTGGTAAAGACTAAAAATAATACTATCTCATTTTATATGAATCATATATTGTCATATTGAATTTCAACTTTCAAGTTTTGTAAGTTTCTTGTATTTTATTTTAAAATTTTATCTTATATTTATTAGTAGATATGTTCTAATAAAAAAATTAATATACTCTCTTCCTATTCCAAAATAATTGATATTTTTTATTTAAAATTTATATTAGAATAATATTAATTTTTTTTTATTTTAAGGAAGATAAATAGTTTTTTTTTTGCTTTAATCCTATAATTATCTTTTAACTTTAATTATTTATCTTCTTATTAAAATAGATATTTATTCTTAATTATTTTTTAAGTATAAAATAAGTAAAAATAGAAATTGTTTTCAAATCCTTCATTTGAAAATAAAACAAAAAATCTATTATTTTAGTACAAGGGAATAATATTTAAGTAATGAAACTTATTGATATTTTATTATCACAAAAAATTATATAATTTCCTTTTAAGATTTAGAGTTGTTGAAATTACAATAAAATTGAATATTATGATAATATTGAAGTTATGTTGAAATTATATGGAATAAAATTGGATCGGAGTAATAAAAAAAAAAGAAAATATAGATCCATAAAGGGAACATATATGAATTCAATAAAAGGAAAAACCTTGGATATAGTCATATAGAGAAAGAGCAATAGGAAGATAAACTAGTATAAAGTGTAATTAAGTTGTAAAAAGAGGAAACAATTATTTAATTATAAAAAGTGATAGGGTGAAAAGATAGAATGTTACCGTATTTCATATTTGCCAACCTCACATGTGGAAATGGGGCATCTCTTCAACTAGATATAACTAATAACTTAGATAATTAAGTGCTCTACCACTGTATATTGATATACTATTTTAGAAATCGTAATAACCAATTAAGTGTTTAAAGGTTTTATGTTTTTAAAGGTTTTATGTTGTCAACTGCTATCTCAAGATTTTTCAGAAATGGAGAAACTTCATTTGAGATCAAAGTTTCGATTTTATGAGACTGAAACAAGTTGTGATCAGGGTTGTCAGAATTTTTAAAATATTTCTAAGCTATGTGAATGGCTTATGGAGATAAAAAAATAAGAGGTTTATAGTTTTATTTACAAGTTAATTACTTTGGTACTTACTCTTCTAGTTTTTACAGCAACAACAAAAAGAGCATTTTTTGTCATGAAAATTATGAAAACGAGACTTTACAGTAAAATGAAGGATAAATTTCTTTTAAACTCTTTAATTGTTTATATTAAAAAAAATAGTTCGATTATTTAGTGTAAACTCTATTATAATAAATTTCGTGACATGAAAACTCGTTAAATATCATTTTAATTTATGATATAAAAATAAATTTTTAAAATTACAATATATTATTTTGAGACTTAAAAAATTTACATTCCCTGACTAAAATTCCTGACTCCGTTACTGTGATTGTCTAATTCTCGAAAAATTGTATAGAGAAAGAAAGAACGCCAACTTTTATGCTTTTATAAATTAAGGGCACAGACTATTCTCTTTTACTAATTAATGATGCAAAGCTTTCATCAGTTTATTAACCAAGAAAATAAACTTCATATTTTGATCAACCCATCTATTTACCCCTATATAATATTCTTATTTACGACAACTTATACTTTTCAAACTTAGTGATAACCCCTGAATATGACAGACCACCGCCGGTATTCTTCGTCAACCGTGTACCTAAAATGGCACATTTCAAATGATGTGTGCAAGCATTTCTTACTTGAGGAATGGGTAGTAATATAAAAGATAATTTTATTTATTATTTTTTAATATAATTTTTTATATATTATCAATTAAATATATATTTAATATAATAAATTATAAATAAAAAATTTTATTATTTAATAAACATATAAGATTACAAAAAAATTTATCTTTAAATATTTTTTTCTCCTCCCTCAATCGATTTACAGAGGATCTTTTCCCGAAATTAAAGTGTTAGGGTTTGTTCTACCAAAAAAAAAGTGTTAGGGTTTGCAAAACAAAAAACTCAAATCAACTCTTTATGTCCGCAGTTCCCATCTGCGAGATTCAACGCTAACACTTAATGAAAAACAAGTACCATGTCTAGAACATCTCAATCTTCCTTCTCGTGGGGTTCCTCATCTTCTCAATCTGTGTTGTCAATAGGTCCCACTTCGTGAACCATTGTTGAAAGATTCTTCATAGTTGTTGAATTTAATTAACGTTGGTAGAATTTGAATTCTTGGAGTAGGCTTGGAAAGAACCGTCACCCACATGGCCACATTAGACCCAACCACATTGGATCCCATGCCGTAATTTTTGTATTCATTCCCCATTTCTGTTTTTCCGTAACTGATAAATTTCTGGCTGTTTGCAGTGTTGGTGTTTTCCGTGTAAGTGGACAACTCCCGACCCCGGCCTTTGGCGTCATCGGAGTACGAAGTGAATCTGAGATTTGGGTTGTTAACCTCTTTATTGTAGTTGTTTAAATCACCAGAGCCACCGGTTCCGGCAGTGCCGTAGGTGCTGCAGCTCTTGTCCACAACGTTGCCATTTGCTGCCAAAAATAGATTTCTCCAAACCCATCTTCTGTTCTGTCTCCCCTCACCTCTATACACATTTCACATTTCCTTGATCAAATCAAACACCCAATTCCCAATATTTGGGGGAAGTTGAGATGTGGAAGAAATTTGACCAGGAAGATTGAGATACGTGCAAGACAAAAAGAGCTTGCCATTGAAGAAAAGTTTGTCTGCCTCATTTAAGTGGTGCGACGTAAGCATATTAATTATACGTGTTATTTAAATAATTAATTTTTTATATATTTAAAATATATAATATTAAATATATATTTATTTAATAACATAAAAAAATAATATAAAAAATAATATGAAAAGATTATTTTTATACCATTGTCCATGATTGATAGAAAGTATTAATAATCTGTTAAATTTAAGCATTTTCATTAAATTTTAAAAAGTAAAAAGTGTTAAATGCACGTAAAAATCCATAAAGGTGTTTACTATAGAAAAAAATATTATATATGATATAAATACAAGGTTTGACTTCATGTTTTTACTACATAGTAAGGATTAGTTAAATGTCCATGCAAACATACTCTCAATGTTATGTGGGAAAAAAACAATTAAAAGTCTCCTTTTTGAATTAGGGTAAGTGTTACCAATGAAAAGTGCTTTCAAAATAATTCAGTGAGC